CCCCCCCCCCCCCCCCCCACGCAACCCAAAGTAACCGAACCCCTTCGTCGTTTAAATCTGTCCTCATGGTTGTCTTGCAAAAGCCTTTCAACTGCTTCAAAGTGATTGTGCACTCGGGAGAGTGCATCCGAACACCCCCTGCCTTCACAATACGCGTACTGGGGGATGTGATCAAGCATGGGGCGAATGTGCCATTGAATCTGCTTAGCAAGGAGCCCAGCGACTATTTTGGGGTATGGTGGCAGAAGTCCGATCGGTCTTAATGCACTGATTTCAGTGGGTGGATTGGAGGGCTTGGGAAGCCATGCAACATATGTGTCTTTCATGTCCCCCTGTAGGCTGCCGGCCGCGAAGTGCCTGTTCAGTGCTCTGGTCAGCTTGCCACTGATGCTGCCTGCACAAGGGCGCCGCACGGATGATAGCGCTACATGTTGTGGCACTGCCTTGCGCGGATTGAGGCTTGCAAGCTGATACTGGATTTCAGCCTCCTCAAAGCACAGGCCCTCTTCGATGGCCTGTTGCGGGGCCTCATCAGTGACACTGGCAAAGGTGTCTTGGCTGTATCTAAGGACTGCCTGCAGTTCTGCCGATGCGGACAGGAGGTGGCCGTCTGGGCCTTTGATGCGCGAGACTCCCCTAGCCTTTTTGGGTGCTAGCTGCTTGACTACCTTGAAGAGACCCCTTTGGTCGCCCACCCTGGCAGCTTCTTCGGCTTGTTGGAGCTGCTCCTGATGGAAGGCTGATTTAAGTTGTCTGCTTTGCTGGCGTAGAAGCTTGGATTCACGCATGAAGTTGGCATAGGCTCGCCACTTGTGCCAGATGCATCTCAGGGAGCTCCCTGCCGTGGCGCGCATGTGATGATACAGCTGCCATGTTCTGGCAGCACTGGCTTGAAAAGCAGGGTCTGAACTGACGCGACGATCCGGCTTGGGCTGTGGCGGGAAGAGCTTTGCAGCCTCCTCCAGGAGAATTGCATTGATTCTATCATGCAGCGAGTCTATTGGCTCCTGCTCATCCAGGGCAGCGACACGGGTGGTCACAGCTTGCTGCAGGGCCTCGGCTTCGGCCGTGGCAACAGTAGTGGCATGCTGGAGTGCAGTAGTGTTCAGCCTTGGCTGGCTGGAGCGCTGGGAAGTCTGCTGCAGCTGGAAGGGCCGTACGGGCAGCACGGCCTGTAGGGGGAGGTGATTGACTGACCTATCACCCGCAACCGGGAAGGACCCTATGGGACTGGCGAGTTTAGCTTTAGAGCCTGAGTCCCTGGCACGACCATTATGTAATCTATTTGGCTTTGGGCAGTGGTGGACTTAAAGGTGTAAGCCGGCTTGGCATGGAAGGTGTTAAGAACACACAGGTCCTGCTCCATCACAAGGTTGTGTAGCTCGGCGTCGGCTTTGTGTTGGGAGTCTTCTTTCGCTATTGACCCTCCTATGTGTGGATATGCAGTGCCGACAGTGGAGTTCAGGTCTCCTGCAGTCACTACCTGCTGTCGGGCTGGCAGTGAGTCCAGCGTTTTCTGCAGCGCCGTCAGGATGCTGCCTCTGAGTTGACGGTTTTTGGCTTCACTGAGCTGGGGCCTGTGGACATGTTGGTATATACCGAAGAAGTCAAAAGGAATCTGGCTTGACTTGTGAGTGGCCCTGACGTGAAGCAGCCTCCCTGCTACCAGCTCTGATGCTGCAATGTCCCCGAAGGCCTTCTTGGACAGCATTATCAGCACTCCTGCGCTGCGGTCGGGCGGAGCTGGATCCTGGTAGCCCGACGTGTGTACACAGCACCAGGACATAGTCTTCGACATGTTTCCAGTGTGTCTCCTGTAGAATTACAGCTTCCCAGGGCCCGTTGGATTGCAGCCAGGACAGCAGTTCCTGGTACACATGTGAGGCCAGCCCTCCTGTGTTCCAGCTAAAGACTATGATCTGCGGTACCGGCCTTGTCGTCCTTCGGGGTCGGCACTGATTCGGCGAGCTTCTGCAGGGGCTTAGGGGCTGCTGGGTATTAGCCTGGTACATGGATGCGAGGGTTTTACTGGAGTGCCATCGCCCCTTGTACATGGTGCCCTCTTGGATAGAGTTGCTGGCTCTCCGGCATGCTCTTTTGTAGGCTCTTTTTGTACTGTGAGTGAGGTGATTATTGGGAGAGGGGGGAGCTATCCTGCCTGAATGCGCAGGCCCGCTGTGCTTCCCACTCCACTGGTGTAACCAGCGTCGAGGTTCGTCCTCTGATGCGGCTGCAGAGGAAACCCTCACCCCAACCGTAGCATGTAAAATCAAGTAGCTGAGGTTCCTGAATGATGTTCTACGGCCTCCGGACTTGGGACCGGAGGGGCCACATTGCTTTCGATGCACTTGGTCAACATTGCAGGACTTATTGGTAACCCAAGGAGAGGCAGGGACTAAACCCAAGGGGGGACTAGGGAGGGTGTCTCCTGCAGCTGGTTCCTTGTCTCGGCTGGGCAGCTGCACTAGCTGCGAAGCTGGCCTGCTGTGTTTTGGCGAGGTTGGCTTAGGTCCAATGAACCTGTGCCCTATCTTCCTTAACCATGACGCAATGGGACTGTTGGGCCTGTTGTGGGGCCTGTCCATGATGTTGCAGTAGGGGTCGTCATGCCGTGGGTCTCGACGATCTCGGCGATCTGGATCTGTGGGTGCGTCGTCGGCGGCGCTTCTCATGCGTGGCCTGGTACTCGAACTGGTTCCACTCCTCGAGGCGGGGCCCTGTAAGCCGTTGTCGGGCTTCTTCCTGCACTCTGTACCAGTCTGAGCGGTTGGTCTTTCGGCGCAGACCCGCCAGGCAGCCTCTTGCCGGTACAGTGTGTGGAGCCGCTCCACTGCTGTGTCGAAGGACGGCCCCTCCAGAAAGAGCCTGGTGTCTGACCAGCTGTACGAGGCAGCGTCGTTGTCCGAAGTGCTGTCCCCACTGGAAGTGGCAGATGCAGAAGCGGCTGCCTCTGCTCTGCTTGCACGCACCTTAGGAGCTGCTCCGTCTCTTGCATGGCTGCTTGGCCCGGCCACCGTGCCTCCATTGCCCTCCGGTGCAGACCGTTGCGACTGTACCACCATGGGGGCCACGTCGTTGGGTGGCGTATCTCTGTCCTCCCGTCTGAGCACCGCGCCAGGTGGTGGAGGAGGGCCAGCTCGTCGAGTGGCTTCTTCCAGGGTTGGCGGCCCGTGGCGTACATGGTCACGAGGAGTCCTATCACAATCATCACCGCTGGACATATGCTCCGGCGTTTCCTCTCCATCGCTCATAGAGATAGAGCCGCGCCCTCGCTACAAGTGGCTTCAAGAAAGCTTGGGCCCAGGGGCTTCATTATCATCATCACAATCATCACCATCATCACCACCATCACCATCAAAATCATCGTCATCATCATCATCATCATCACCCCTATCATCACCATCACCATCATTATCGTAATCAACGTCATCATCTTCAGGACGCGAACAGTAGCAGCTGGCAGCAGCGATCACAAGACTTGAGCAGAAAGACAGGAAGCGTAGCCTTATTGATGCTAGCAATGATGGTGTCGTGCTATTCCGGAGCTACTCCGCTGTGGCATGTTCTACGCTTCGTTCATCCTACACATGTCGTTTGGCCGACGAACCTAAACCTACGCCCTAAACCCTAGACCTTAGACCCCACACCTCAGATCCGAACTTTTCGGAGAACAAAAGTAGCGCATTCAGTGGTCTTTGGTTCCGCATACAAGGATAGAATCCTTAGCCATGGTGGGCGATGTGGTATGCAGTTTCCATGCTGGATTGAAGCAATGTGCAAATGCTACTTCCCCAAGGAATGTGCACCTGACCACACCGCCCGCGGACCCCACTTTAAGCACAGTGCAATCTCTAAGCTCATGCGGGAACCCGTTTTGGGCTGACACCAAGGCGCACACGGCCATAGCCAAAACACCCTAAACCCTGAGCCTCTGTAATGCGAGACGGAAAAAGAGCCCTGAAACCCTAAACCCTAAACCCTGAACCCTCTAGTTTAGTTGCACACAGAGACCTCGTCTGGCGGAGTCCGAGTTGCGAGAGCGTAAACCCTGAAACCTTGAGGCTATCCGGCGTGTGCCGCGGCCATGGCTGACAATGCCGAGGGCCTCCGTCTCCTGTGCGAGGCGTCGGACGGTTTGGGGTTTGGGGCTTAGGGCCCCTTCAAATCAAGAGACTAAAGGAGGGACCCTTAAAGGGACCCTTGGGGTTATATAGGGGCTTTATGAGACTATATAAGGTGTATATAAGGGTTATATAGGGTATTTGGATGAGGGGTCTCTTCTAGGGGTCCCTCCTAATGTTTTTTAATCAAAGGAACCCTGACAAGCTCCCTTCAGGGTTCCTGTAAGGGCTCCTTGAAGGGTTCTTTCGGTGGTACTTTCGGGTTTCACTTCAGGGTACTCGGCAGTCGCAATAGGCCTGGATGCAAAAGGGGTTTGGGGTCAAAAGCGTTTAGGGTGCTCCGGTTTTGAGCTGGATTTTTAAAGACCTTAGGTTCGATAGATCGAGAGAGTTGAAGGGCGAGCCTGATAGGATCCAGCCAGTGGAGATCCCTAAACCCTAAACCCTAAACCCTAAACCCCTAAACCCTAAACCCCTAAACCCTAAACCCTAAACCCTAAACCCTAAACCCTAAACCCTAAACCGTTTGTACAGCTGAGACCTGCTGGTCTCGGAAGTTGTTGTCATCGGGGGCGACGGTGGTCGTCGTGAAGGTTCTGCACCCAGAGGACCCAATACCCCGTAAATAAGGAATATACCTTAAAATGTAGGGGCCTTAATATTATGATTTAAGGTCTATTCCTTAATTAAGGGGTATTGGGTTCTCTGGGTATTTCCCGTCTTGCCCGGAGTAGTTCGAAGCTTCCAACGCTGGCTGTCACACCGTGGTGGTGGTCGCGGCTCAATCGTGGGCGTCGTCGTCGCTGGAGCCGCGGGGTTTATTTTTTTGGCGTTGTAGTCGTGTTCGGTCATGGTGGTCGATGTGGTGGCGGTCTGTCCGGCTTCGTGGTCATGATACTCTTGTCGTTGTTGTTGTCCCGAACCTTCATCTCCAAGCCAATTCGACCTTAAAGTCCTGAGCCCCAGCACCTGAAACTCACAGCCCACAGCCAGGCCGGTGGCAATCCTCATCAGCCCTTTATGGGCGTCGTCTACCCCTTCACGTTGGCCTGCATGTTTCTGAACGTGGTTCAGAGTTTAGGGGTCTGGGAAGCCATGAAGTAACGCTTAGGGTCTGGGGGTCTAATCACGGACGCATTGGAGTCTAGGGTTATGAGTTGTCTTGACCTTTCGGAAGCATGGAGACCACAAAAGGGCACATTCTGAACGGTTTTCCTGTCAAGCGGAGGTGTTGGGGGTTCCATGTTTGTTGACGGCCTTGCAGTATTTGGTTTCGTTGCAACCGCCAAGGCAGCAACATCTCACACATTAGATGGGTAGTTCTCTAAATTAGGAATCCATTTTAGGGTTCCTTTTACAAGGGTGCTGAATTTTTAGGGGCTTCAAACTTAGATGACTACCCAGATCGTGTACCTCTGGAGAGTGTTGCATTCTGAACTTCCCTGCTCAGTGGGGGGGGGGGCTTTCTGCAGCAGAAGCGCGAAGAACTATCAACCCCTGAACCATAACCAGCCAAAAACCTCAACGTGTAAGCCTTCACACCGTAAGCCGTAAGCGCAGAGCCCTGAGCCTTAAAGGCCAAGCCCAACGCCTAAACCCCCAAGCTTTTCAACGGGCGCTGGGCATCGGCTGCGCCAAACGTGAATCCAGGGTTTAGCCTTAGAACTTTGGCGGTGTAGAGTTTGGGTGTTCAGGGTACCGAACCAACGATTGCGTGTTTGGGTTCGGGGCAAGTGGAAAAATAGGGTTTAGGGTTTAGGGTTAGCAAAGAGCCTGGGTTCCAAAAAGGGTTTAGGGTTTAGGGTGTAGGGTTTTTGCATTTCGACAGCCCCTCTGCCGAGTCAAGGGCTGCCTTGTCCCTAGCAGAGGGTTTAGGGCGTGCACTCAGGCGGGTCTATGATTCCTGCCCGTTGCACCTTGGGTGGTTTGTACACTACACACCACATCCAACGCTCTTTGGGCCACAAGCACAACACGCCCCAACTTCTAACCCAAAACCCAACCACAATACTCATGAGATTCTCTACAGGCTCGAGCTGTCTCATGCCGCAAACCCTAAATCCCAAGCGCTCGACATCCTAAGCCCCATCAGTGCCAAACACTGCAGACCCTGAATACACAGAGTATGATGCTGAACGTACACACCCTAAACCCCCAAACCATGAACCCCAAACCCCTAAACTATGAACCCTAAACCCCTAAACCATGAACCCTAAACCCCTAAACCATGAACCCTTCCCAAACCCAAACCCCAAAGCCCTAAACCCTAAACCCTAAATCCCTAGACCATGAACCCTAAATCCTAAGTAAACCTTTATTGAGACAACCTGCCTGAAGCGCTGTGTTGGGCTTAATATATAATATATAGGGGCCTAAATAGCTACCTATATATTATTTTGGGGTTCTTATTATAGTTATAGTATAATATACCCCAAAACACTATTTTAATTACTAAGGCCGCCCAAAACCCTAAACCCTAAACCCTATCTTAATTATTAAGGCCCCTACATTAGGGCATAAAATCCCAGGCAGCAAAACTTACAATGGAGACCTTGAGCCCTAAACCCTCAACCCTGAATCCTAAACCCTAAACCCTGAATCCTGCGCCGCACGGACATAGTCAGCTGGGCAGGTAAACCTTGAATCCTAAGCCCTAAACCCCAAATCCGAAGCCCTGAAGCCCAAGGTTTGGTGCAAGGGCCGCCATCGACGAGCTCGCGGCGCGAGGTGCTGTCCACCTCCGGGACACTGGTCCTTTCTTTAGGATTTCACTGGGGGGTTTAGGGTTTATGGTTTAGGGTTTAGGGTCTATGGTTTAGGGGGCTGTCCGACCAAGGGTTTGCGCGTTTGTCTGGAGCTTGGCTGACGGGATTCAGGGCTCAGTGCGGTGCAGTCCCTGCTCAAAAAAGGGTGCTGTAGGTGGCCTAACCCTAATATGAGGGCATTTGGGGCATTGGAATTCCACTCGTGGCAGTGTGCACAGGGCATTTGAGCCTTGGTGAGGCTTCATCACTTACCTAAACCCTAAACCCTGAACCCTAAACCCTAAACCCAGAAGGAGCTTTTCCTGTTGCAGCCTTTGGGGCCCAAAGCGATGCCAGAATCATCCGTCCCAAACGAGTGATGCAAGCCTTGTGCCGTTTTGAGAGATCTCACAAGAGTCCTAAGCGCTTACTTACAGTGCCCTTGGAAGGAACACTGAAGCGGGGACCTCAAAGGAACCCGGAAAGGGAACAGGTTTCGACAGCGGCCACAGAGCAAATATCAATCTGGCGCTTCTTCACCCATCCCAAAGTGCAGAAGCAGCGGATGTGAAACGAAGCCTCAAAACCCTAAACCCTAAATCCAAAGCTCCAAGACCGATCCTTTAACCCTAAACCCTGAAACCTACAGCCCTGGAGCTTAAATCTACACCCCCTGAAGCCTGAACACTAGACTGGAAGACTTCCCCAACCCTGTCTGGAGGATCAGGTTACTTTGTAAATAAGGTTATAAGTACCTTCATTGGGGTTATATGTACCTATAGGTATAGTTACTTTTTTTATAACCCTAGTTCCTAAGTCCCATGGTCCTTTAAGTAAACCATAAGTCCTAAACCCTGAGTCCTCAACAAACTTGTAGAGCCGACGAGCTGAGTCCTCAAATGCGCCATTCAGGATTGTCTCTCCTATGCCATGCTCTTCCGCGGCGGTACTGCGTTCTTTTTGGAGATTTTTTGTAAGTTACCATTGTAGGAATGTGCAGTTGATTGTGTGCCTTCTGTACAGTAGTATGGTAACTTCAACGGTCCTGAACAAGAATCCAGGTACGCCTGAAATGGCCCTGCAGTTGATTGCGATGCGGGCGAATGTGAACGAAAGGTCCCGTTTCCCCCTGCTGTCACCGCTCGGACTCTGGCACTGCTCTGGGCATTTTTGAGGGCTTTAGGTTCATGTTTTAAAAGCATCGCATCCTTGGAGTAAGGAGCTCACAATTTAAGGTCTACATTAGGATTCCCGTTTGCATTCGTGACGAATGCTTTGGACAAGCTTCTTGCTTTTGAGCCTTGAAAGCCGACCGGCGATGCAAAGGAATCCTCTTTGCTGTGAAGTCTCTCCAGTACAGATGTGGCAGGGTCACCCCGTTGACCACCATCGCATATCGAGCAAACGCATGGACGCCGCTGATGAATGCAATCATGTCAGGGTGCCAGAGCTGAATGGTTCAGCTAGTTTTGTTCGCAGCAGACTTCGCAGTTTAACGTGTAAGCTGTGCAGGCATGTCAGCATGCATGCATATGTATGTATATGTATGTATGTATGTATATATATATATGTATATATGCATGTATATATATATATATATTCATATATATATATATACATATGTGTGTGTGTGTGTGCGTGTGTGTGTGTGTGTGCTGGTGCTTGTTAATGTAGCCGTCTGAAGGTTTCCTCGCTTGTTGTCTGATTTACTTGCTCTGTTCGTTCTTGTGTGCCTGTTTGCAACATGGAGCTCCAGAGCAAGCGAGGCAGTATGATGGCGCCACCGCGCTGATTCTTTCAGGGGCGCAGCTGGATCTGCGGGATTCGGGCGGGGCCTCGGTCATGGATATTGCAGAGGGGCAAACCATCCCGGAGTTCGTGCAGAAGGCCTTCCAGGGGAATCTCGACGACTGTCGGAGCGTGCTGCAACTGGCACTCTTGCAGAATGACGACCTTGAGGAAATGATCACGGAGGCCTTCTGATTCGCAAGCCCATGTTCCAGTCATTTAGGGGAGGAACAGATCTTCCATTTTCCAATCCGAACTGGTGCAACCTTGTATGGGGCCTCTCGTGTGTGCAGCTCACCCAAACACCCGACTAAGGTAGATTCCAAGCTCTCGAAAGAACAATCGACAGTCGCAGTTTGCTTGTTGCTGGATCCCGAAGCGGATCGTTGCAGCGAGATATGTTTTCAACTTTTTTTGATGCATCCCTAACCCCTAAGCCTTAAGCCCTAAGCCCTAAACCCTAAACCCTAAACCCTTAACCCTAAACCCTAAACCGACGCTCGAACTGAGCGAGCCTTGGACCTCGTGCGGGAGAAAGGGCTACTGCATTTTAAAAAAAAACCGTCTCTCCGCAGACCTCAACCCATGCTGTCAGCCTTAGGACTCTGTATGGCGACCCGAGGGGTCGATCTGACGAAGAACCCCAGGGCAGTATGAAACCCTAAACCCTACACCCTAAACCCTACACCCCTAAACCCTACACCCCTAAACCCGAAACCCTAAAACCTAAACCTTTAAAAGCCCTAAACCCTAAACCCTGAACCCTGAGCCCTATATCCTAAACCCTAAACCAACCCTGAATCCTAAACCCTAAACCCTAAACCCTGAACCCTAAATCCCAAACCCTAAACCCTAAACCAACCCTGAATCCTAAACCCTAAACCCCGAAATTCTCGGGCGTTGGCAGCAGAGTGTGGGCCACGGTCGACGCCGGAAAACTTGCTCGAAGCGAAGCGCGGGCGACTGTTGCGAAGAAAGAGCCATGCCCGGAGGACCCGGTTTAGGGCTTAGGGTTTAGGGCCTAGGCGTTTAGGGTTTAGGGGTTTGGGGCCTAGGGGTTTAGGGTTTAAGGTTACCCAGAGAACCCAGTACCCCTTGAACAAAGAATCCACCTTAAATTATAGGGGCCTTAATAGTATGATTTAAGGTACATTCCGTATTTAAAGGGTATTGGGTTCTCTGGGTGTCTTTGTCCAGGATCTTGCAGTTAAAACCCCCAGCCTTAAACCCTAAATAGGTAAGAGTGATTGCCACTTCGGAGAGTAGTCAAACTGATGTAGATGGACACAGAGACCTCGTCTTGCGGAGTCCGGGGAGCGTAAACCCTAAATAGCGTCGAGAAGTCAGGTAGCGGCAAGTCTTAAATTTGGTCCGACAGGCCTTGGCCTCCCAAGTAGTGGAAGGCGGATAGGGTTTAGGATTTATGGTTTAGGGTTTAGGGTTTAGGGGTAACCCTCACCGATTCACCCGCTTTGAGGAAATCCTCCTGAACGTGCCAGCTGCTCCCGAATACAGAGGCCCCTTGAACGAGCCTGAAAAAGCCGGATCGTACCCCTGCAGCAGTATCAGTAACCCCAGGCATGAACATCATAACCCTAAACCCTAAACCCTAAACCCTAAACCCTAAACCCTAAACCCTAAACCCTAAACCCCTAAACCCTAAACCCTAATGAACATCGACTTTTCCCGCTGCTCGTTGTTGGCTCATGTTGGCTCCATAGCCTAGCCTTCCGGTGCATCGACGGGAGGAGGTGGGAATTCCGAGTCCTGGGCTTTATGACATGAAACAACATGTAGTATAATAGTTCAGTGACTCGTCACAGACCCTAAACCCTAACCCTAAACCCTGAATCCTAAACCCTAGACCTTTGAAGCAGTTTCAACGGAGCTTCAGGGCGAGAGTTTGCAGCGAATCTCTCCCGGAACGGCGAGGGCAACCGGTCGCTCCAGGGGTTTTGGGCGTAAGGCTTGGGATGCTAACCGTTAGATCAGGCCGTTAGTAACGGCCTGATCTTCAGAACTCGTCGAGCAAGCTGAAGCTTGTTGACCTGATATTGTGGTAGAGGTCGGAATAACTGTATCGATGATATAAATCCTGCATTACCTTAAGGACCCTAAACTGTGGGAATTATGCTATGTTCCTTACTATGGGTAATGCGAGATTTCTATCATCAGCCGCAGTACTAGATTCCCTGCTAGTCCCCATGATACGCCCCACAGCCCGGCTGGACTTTTCGGGCGCCTCTATCAAGTTAGGCGGTTTAAGGGTTTAGGGTTTAGGGTTTGGGGTTTAGGGTTTAGGGTTTAGGTTTAGGATTTAGGCCTGTCTTGTGTTGTTTCGTGCACCTCGGTCGACCAGGCAAAAGCTCACTAAACCCTAAACCCTTAACCCGAGACCCTAAACCATGAACCTTTAACCCGAGACCCTAAACCCGAAACCCTAAACCCTGAGCCCGAAATCCTGGTGGGACAAAACATCCTACACCAAGGGTTTCGGGGCTGGTCCGGGCTGTTCTGCGGGGCTGTCGTCCCACCTTAGTCTTGCCCATCGGCTTTGCCCTGGCATTGCAGGTGGTGTTGTGCTGAGCGAGGTCTGAATGTTTGAGATTTTATGGTTTCTTTAGGGCTTTAGGCTTAGGGTTGAGGGTTTAGGGTTTAGGGTTGAGGGTTTAGGTGTTTAGGGTTTAGGGCACGATGTCCCCAAATTGTCGGCATCACAGCGTAGCAGGCATAGCATTGGCGTGCAGTACGCCTCGGCCCTTGGCACGACCACTCCAAGAACCGTGAGTTTGCATACCGTGGCGCGACCAAGATTACCAGCACGATCCCAGACATTTCACAACCCTTCATTCAAGGAGTGTACCGAGAGAGGCCAATATACCCCTTGATCAAGGAATATACCTTAAACTATAAGGGGCCTCATATTAATATTATGATTTACTAGAAACTATATTTCTTAATTAAGGACTGCTGGGCGGGCTCTCTGAGTAGTTGAATCAAGCTGACGTCGCTCGAAAGGACGCGATGAAGAGAGACCTGCCCTCAGTCATTTCCACGTGCTTTCGGGGCTTGGGTTATCAGTACCTTGAAGGGTTCCTGTTTTCGAGCTCCAATGGTTTAGGGTTCTGAAGATCATGGGACTTAGTAAGTAAGCTTACAAGTGCCTCAATTGAAGTTATACGTAATGTTTCGCCTATAATTACCTCTATGGCTCTATTTTCACCCTTGTTTCTCCGTCCCATGCTCTTTAAACCCTAAACCCTAAACCCTAAACCCTAGTTTTCCTGTAAGTCATGAGCTTTAAAGCTGTTTGCGTCTCCGGGGAGCTGCCTCAGCTGTGGCTCTGCAGAACAAGGCCTTGAAGCCTTCTTTAGGGGTTAGGGTTTAGGGTTTAGGGTTTAGGGTTTATTGTATAGGGTTCAGGTCCCCTTATCCCTAGAGGCTAACAGGGCAAACCCAAAACCCTAGCCCACGATCCCTCTCAGGACTGACAGGTCGCAAGCGTCTTTCAGGGGTTCTGTTAGACTTTGCATAGGGTTGCCTACAACTAAATGACTATATGGAAACCTTGTCTAGGGGTACTTCTGATGGGCGCCGGACCGGAGAGCTGACGACCCTAGTGTTTAGGGTTAGATCCACCCAAAGCCCTCAACCCCTAAAGCCCCCAAAACCTGACGCCCCAAGCATGCCCAAAAACGCCTCCAACATCCCCCAACAACATCCCATCCCTAAACACACTGATTCCTTCAGCACCCCAGAGTACCACCGGAACCTGCAAACACCCAAAACCCGAGCTGGACATAAATCACAAACCCCATACGATCGCCATAGCACGCTCACGAGACCCCATAAAACCCTGGTAAATCAACCCGAAGCCCCAACCCTCAAGTAGCCTTTTTGTCTCAAACTCTTGGCCTGAAAGGATCCACTGCTTCCTCCCAAGAAAACTGAAAAACACGTCGACCCAGACCCCGCCATGGATTCGCAGAGTGAGACCAGTGGTCAGTCGCGAAAGCAGAGACAGGGAGGCCTGCAAGACGAAGACGCTAACGGCAGTGCATGGCCTGGAGATGGCTGTGGGTCAGCTGGAGCAGCCTTTCTCAATCAAGGAAGACCCAGCGATGGGCCAACGGAGCTTACGTCATCGGCGTGCTCAAGAACGGCGATGGCATTGGTGCTGCGATCCTAGGAGATCAAGTATTTCGGACTCGGGAAGGGCCGCGACAACTCGTACTGGTTGCGGTGCACGTTCTTGTGCCAACAATCGGTGCAACCTCCTCGAGTCAAAAAGGGGCCTCACGTGTGTTGCTCGAATGCACGCTTGAGCTCAGACTTGGTTGCAAACATATCCCGGAGGGATGTTCCTTGAGGCAGTGATGCTGAGGTGTCAGGTGGGACACCACATCCGATGCAAGAGTGCTTTGGTATGAGCTGACAAGATGGAAGCAATCGCAGGGCAGGCAGGGTTCTGATCGCAGGGGGCCGTGTGCTTGTCTGGCTTGCCAGACCGACTGGCGATACGTCTCGCCGTTGTCAGCTTGACTGGGGACATGGCTTGTCCTCGTGCGGCGAGCTTTCAATCTAAGTGACTTGTATTCCGACGTGCACTCTTGATTGCTTGCGCTGATTCGGACAAACTGAAGACGCATGCCGCCTGAGTGACCATATTCTGTAATTGCTTTTCATTCGTGTGCCTACATAATTAGACACTGCGCATGCTCTTATTTGTCTACTCATGCATATGGCTTGGTCTTAGCACTCGTCATGATTCGCTGGTTTTCTAATGTGCCGCGTGGTGCCAAGTGGTGGGCATTTATACATTACGCAGCCGCGTCGCGCCGTCTTGGCAGCCAGCCAGCTTTTCACGGCAGTCTGCTAAGTCGCTGCGCATGGGAAGTGAAGCTGAACCGTTTCACCGAGCTCCTTGGATTGGCAGTCGTCGCTCGGCCTCATTCGATTTCCCCCTGTCTTGGGCCTCGCCTTTCGTTAATTCGGGGCTGGCGGGTGCAGGCTCTCGCCGCTGGAAGGCGAGGCCCTTGCCGTCCTTCCCGAGTACCTGTTGTCATGTTGTCGTCTAGTCGCGAGTGCCAGACCAAGAACCTCCACGCGAGTGTATAGCTTTGGGTTCTTGCGTTTTAAGATTCCCAACCCGAAATCCTTTTTGAATCAAGCCACGTTCAACTGGCAGCGGGCTT